GGAAGCGAAGACGCTGAAACTCCCAGTCGTTCTGCACCTCGGCATCACTCAAGAATATCCGCAAGTCCTTTGCATAGGTGACAAGGTTGTTGACAATCCAGTCATCGTTGTAGACTTCGGGTTCTTTGAGGAAGTGGGACGTTAGTTTATAAACATGCGTAACTTCAGTCCGCAACCGGTCTGTCTTGCGATTGCGCCGTGGGCTGCTCGGAGAACGATAATGTGTACCAATCCGGACCTTAGCTTCTTCGTTGCACGTCGTAACGGCGTACTGTAGAGATTCGAGTAGGGTGCGGTATAGGTTCATGTTGATCGAGCCTAGGGCAATCACTATAGCGTTTCGTATAGAAGAACGCTCGGCTGATAGCAACGGGATCACAAAGGCAAAGAGGCTTCGGGCGGAGCTTATTTTATCCTGCGACTGTTGTGACCCTTTCGATCCCTTCCGTGCATGCTGAGCGTTTGCCAGTTGACTCTGGGACTGTGCGCCTACGCTGTTGAGGGTGGTACAGGCCATGACCAAATACAGTTTCCACTGCTCAATCAAGATCTCGGCGGTTGTGTTACTCCTACCGAATGAGCGAGCTTGAATGGCATCAATCGGACCGTATTGAGGATACTGAGGACTCTCCGCAAGCGACGTAATGGTCTTGTGCATCAGGACAAGTCTCGCACACACGATCTCACGGCCCAACGTCACAGCGAAAGGACAGGTCTCGAAGCTAATCCGAATGATATTGGGAAAAACCTTCGACCATAGTGTAGAGTCATAGGAGACTTCACTGCTGCACAGCTCAATCAGCGTGTTTTGAGTGGCGCTTCTTCGCTTGCCTTTCTGGATGCGACTCCTCTCAGCCACAGTTAATTGTTCGTCATTGACGTCCAATATCTGTTGCGAGTCGGCCTCCAGGATCCGGATGATTCGCGTATTCTCCTTGCCGAGGGCGCTGTCAAATTCCGTAATAAGGCGGAGCACGGTGATCGCAAAAGCGCGAACCCTCCTCGATTGCGAGCAAAGGAAGAATAAGCCGTGGGACTCCACCTCCTCGACCTGGGCGAGAACGCTGGAAAGGTCCAATTGCAGAGCTCTGCTCCCAGTACCAGACTTATCGCCAGAGTCCGCCGCTGCATCTTTAGTCTTCTGCTTGATCTCCTCAATCCAGATCCTCAGCAACTCGACATACAATCTCAATGTAGATTCGATGTGGCCTGGCCCAAGCATGCCTTCGTCTGACATGGTGGAATATCTCGCGTCGAAATTGAATATAAACCTTGCGAAACCGATCGTCACCTGCTGGGCATGAGATTGCCGTGCAATTGCTTTCAGAGACTCGGCAGATGAGGACGCTATGTTTGTTTGAACATGAGCAGTGCCAGTACAAAGCAGATTGATAAGAGAATTGAATGGTATACGATCGGATAAACAGCGAGGCAGGGCTTGGACCGCGACGTGAAGAAGATCGTAGAAGCCCTGTCTCTGATCTAGAATGTTAGGATGGTCATCCCGTCTTCCAAAACTGAAGGCCTCCGCAATCGGGGTCTTGGGAGTTGTCCCGCCGAATTTCTCATCCAGTGCTGCCTGTCCTCCGAAAGTGTTGTCGCATAAAAGAGTTATCTTGCCAAGGATGTCACAGAACCGGAAATAATAGTCTCTGACATTCTCATTCAGTCTTGCTGTGTTTACAGGCCGTGATACTGCATCCTCCCTATTCCCTCGGGTATTTGGAAGCCGGGGATCAGCCAGGAACTGAGGACGGTGGAGATAGGTTGGAGAGGACATGTCGGTAAACGGGTTGGGGATCGAACCGGTGGGCACGGGAGGGCAAAGCTGATCAGAATTCTCGATGTCTGTCATGATGGCGAGGAAAGACCTGATTCCAATCACCATCTTTTCCGGCTCCATTTGTTCGATCTTTAGCTCTTTCCCGGAAAGGAATAGATCCGAGCTGATCATTTGAAAGATGATGCTTCTGAAACAGACGTCAGGATGCTTAAACCCAATCATCCGTATTAGTTGGATAAGAGGCTCTGCAACGGCCGGTTCTGTACTCAGATATGTCCTTTTGCCGGGCGGAAGCGCGATTTTGGACACTTCGTCGACTTTACGCAGTGTAGCTGTGGGCGATTCTGAATACCGGAAGAAGTAGGTCCACAGCAAGCGACACATTGCCTGTAGGGCAGGCCCTCTTGTTGGCCGGTCTTTTAATCTCGGTGGGAGCGACTGGACCAGTGAAAGCCACTGTGAGGAAAAGTTTTCCTTCGTCGACACGCACAAAAGCAGCACATGGAGGGGGAAAGCCACAGTCCAATGACGAGGCTTGGTTAGCATCTGTGACAAACGGGACTGGACCAGCTCTATAAAGTCTTTCCACTTGGGCAACGTCAAGTCAGAGTTGGGACTTGCAGCCACAGGTAGGAGTAACTTTTCAAAGATATAACAATATGCCTGTTTGACCCGTTGCCCATGAGAATTACCGAACAATCGGGCCAGTGAGCGTAAGAATTCGCAAGAGCGAGCCCATGAGTCGGGTTGTGTCTTAACCCGAATATGCCTCATACCTAGGATTAGAAGTTCGGCTTTGGCGTCACCATCTCTGGAAGGCCCACGAAGTGTTTCATCCTTCTGAATTTTTTCGAGCTCTGCTAAAAACCGAGCTGTGACGCTTGTGAAGTTGTTTTCGCTCATGATCCCTAGCACTTGGGAGTAAATCCTCCAGTTCGCCATGCGAAGAGGCGAAGCTGAGATCTGTTCGGGGTCTACTGTTTTGAGTTGACCGAAGACGATATCCTCTAAGCGGTCCGCCATGTCCAATGTGATCGAAGCAAGACTGCTCTGGTTGAATATCTCGATCAAAACCCTGCAAACCAGGTAAACGGACACCGTCGCACGCCGCTCCGCCAAGATGACATCGTCGTGCCGGGAGTACAGTGTAGTCGCAGGAGACGCTGAGTCGGTCTGGGAAGCCGATTCCGCGATGATCTGGGGTGGCTCGGTGTTGCGGCGTATCAGGGACCCATTTTCGGATGTAGTCTTCTGACCAGCGGCCTGTTTGGCCACAATGGCAGCATCGCCTTTGGCCTTTCGCCATAGCATGATCGTATCAATCAGAGGCTTCGGTTTCTCTCGCGCGATATGACCCAAAGCAGAGATCAATTGATCAAAGTTCGAATCGACGCCCGGTCCGCATACCTCTTCAACTGGCGCGTCTGACTCACCCAGCTTCATTATAGCCTGGTTGATCTTGTTGTCCGCTTGACCTACAAACTAGGGCCACTGTCAGCAGTCGGGTCAAGCTCGGCGAAACAGGTTTACACTTACGGAATTGAAGAGATGGTGCAAAGCGTATTCCCCGACCGTTTTCGACTCTGCTCCAAAATGGTGCCTCGAGTGCGAACGGCTATGGGAGCGCTCCTGCCACGGCTTTCCGTTGGAGTTCATTCTCCTGTGAGCTGTACTCGCCAGGGTCCCATCAGCGACATCATCCGTATCTCTATCCTCTATGGTGCTTAGTGTGCCCTGCAGACTGTGCACCGCTCCATTGGCCCCTTGGGCCTGGAAGCCCGAGTGTCCCTCGTTCTGCTCCATTCGTACAGCGCCTGTGCCTTCTGGTTCGGGAGCACCACCACGGCCGAGCGAAGCGATCAATTCGGGGCTGAGCGGGCTTGTAGAGGTTGTAGAGGCAGCGAAACTGGGATTTCGGGAGTGTTGGATTCCATGGACAATCGAGGTATTTCGATGATGACCGTAAGAGTTGGATGGTCTCCTCTCCAAGCCGACATCGTACCCAAGACCAGACCTTCCAGCGCTTGGTTCGGGACTTTTGGAATGGGAGTTGCCGCGCCGAGTGTGTTGAGGTTGTGAGGATGAAGGGGTTAAGGCGGATAGGTCGGCACCTCCTCTGACCGTGGAGGTTTCCCGACTGTGCACGGTGGACGATGGCGTACTTCTCGTGACAAGGCGTTCTGGTGGAGTTGAAAAGCTATGGTGCGACACAGGGCTCGAATCGTCAGGGATGAGGGGCAATGGCGTTGGCTGGATGGGACCAGCCTTGATCGACGGATGTGAAGCCACTACCACGAACAACAAGTTAGACGCGCGATTATCCAATCACTCAGATCCATTAGAAGCGATAGATAGCAGGGTTAAGACCATCACGATGAGAACCCGTTAAATCCGACCGAGCGAAAGAAGACGGAGTCACGTACTGCTGTTGTCCGACGTCTGTCCGGGTTCAAACGCCACTCATTGCCTGCTAGTGCTCTCTTCAGTTGGAGCGAAAGAACCTGGGTGCACTTGCGAACAGTGCATGGTTATCTTCCGCACATTAAATTGGAGGCGAATGCGATGAATAGGGTGGTTGTCTGGGATTGAGGTAGCGTTACTTGAGCTTTGTTGCTGGAGCAGCTTCCAGCCTTTGCTCGCGACCGGAGAGGCTCTGAGCACGGGGACCATACCGGCCCCCGAGGATCAAATTCAGGAAAGAAAATCAGCACATCAGAATGATCCTAGGAACCATTCGCTCATTACACCATTCCACGCTTTTATTATGCATAATTAAGGGGGAATTTTTTTTTTTTTTGAAATCCTTGTCTTTGTTTCTTTGAGAGGGACTTCCTATGTCTCAGTATATAGTATAGTCGGCCATGTTGACGATACTCACCCCCAGCCAATCTTATCGGTAGATAAGAAGCACCCCGAAACTTTGGTTCCAGTCAGACTAGTAGTCGAGGAGTCATCTTCAGCAGTATGGCTGCTGATCTACATGAGTAGGATGCATTCATATGCTGTAACACACTGCATTCTTCAATTTCCACACCATTGACTTTATCAGATGCCTGACCAACAAGGTTGTCATAGCCGATCATGATATGAGAAACAAGTAGAAGCCGTAAGACTCCCAAATACCAGAACTCTTGAGATGGACACTATAAGTAAAATTATGAACTTTGGCTGCTAGCAGTAATTACTGCTCGCAATGTCTGTTACTCACCATAATAGTCCTGGTACAAGAAGAATGCAATTGCTTTTAGAGAGAATGACCAGTGCGGAGACAGCCAAGAATACTATGATCCGCAAATTAATCTTGTGAAGAATGCAAACCAATATATAGCGAAGCATCCCCGGACAGTACTCTCACATGTAATATGCTGGCAACTTCCATCCCGAGTGATATAAGTCAATTGATGATGAGCTTACGAAAGCCGTTTTCCATTAGTAGTACTGTGCTTACCAGTATGACCAGAACTAGGGATAGAGGATTCGTATAGATATGGGTCGCATATACGGAGTAGCAGGCACGATGACATGAAGCCCACAACAGTCTGACACAACACACTCCTTCAACTCCAATAATACGAAGAAAAGAGTTTGAGGTATACCAGCAGGCTTTGATGACTGTAGCAGCAAGTCCAAGTCCTATAGAATAAATAGCTGATAACACTGGTATCATTTCAGATTGTTCCAAGATGGTGCGGAATTCGTCCGCGAGAAGGGTTGCCAGTGTATGCAGAGCATTTGGTGCACTAACCCGTACACAAAGTGCGGAACGGGTGCAACTTCCCCAGGAGCGGTAAACAGGCAGAAGATGTGCCGCAGTCACGAGCAGCATTATCCATGGTCAGCCACCTGCCTCAGCGTCGACACGCAGGGGGGTCGGATTGAGCAGATGGGGTCTTCTAGAGAATCCTAGCAGACAGCTGACAGAATTGGCTGTCGGTGTGCGTATTTTGAAGTCGGTATACGACGCATAAAGGATCGGATATGCATGGACTACAGAGAACATACTAGTAGGTAACCATCTTAAGTTCTTGTACCTGAATCCTGTTTTCTTCCCTTATTGGCAATTGGATCAGGAAACTATGATTCGCAGTTCATTTGACTGGAACTCCAGATCTTCGGACACTCCGGACTTGCCACCTCCACGGGGTTGCGGGAGAACGGCACAGAGAGATGCCTTCATATGCCAGTCAATCACAAGAATTACTGAAAGTGGCACAGGATGTGGAAAGGCGGAACTCGGTTAGCAGAGGAACTCGGCAGCGAGTTACGGAAGATCGCCCCAGATGAAACAGAGGAACAACTGGTCATTACCGGCTGCGCCTTCATGGCTCAAGGGCCTCCGCCGCCACTTTCCATCGTCTCTCAGCCAAGCCAGGGCCGAAGTCCCCTTCCGAACCAGACGCCATCTCGGTCAACGGTCGGCCAATGGGATTTCCCCACTATGAGGGAAGGCAATATAGTACTAGTAGTATGATAGATAAATAAAAGGAGAGAGATAGACCGTCAGGATGCTCTGACTATTACTTTGACTTCAATTTTAGAGTTGTACTACACATCCTCCCTACGTTTCTTTCCTCGGAAGGTTTGAGTCACAGATCGTTGTCTTTCGAAACCCTCCGGCAACCGCTCTCTTAACTAGCGATACTTTCCCATATCAGTGGCAGTGTCTAGTAGTAGTTCAATACTACTACTGCCAACAGACTCACAGTACTACTGTGTAGTAATATCAGATAGTGTTTCTCGACCCTGATACGAGAGATCTGATAAGTGCTCAACAAATCGGAGTAACAGAAGGACAAGCAGTTGTTGGAGTACTACTGGTCCGTGTCAGAGACCCGGACAGGATCAGCATCTCCGAAACCGAGCCTCCGAGGCGAAAAGGCCACCATCGCCTCAGGCTGCCACCACCTCTTGCTCTTTCTCTGTCTCTCTTTCTCCTCTCGTGTCCGTCGATCGTCTCCATCCGCTTCCCGGCTCACGCCCCCAAATTATGCGGTCTGCTTAGCAGTGGGTTCGGCCTCTCTGTTCTTCCTGGATCACACCACGGCTTACTTTCTTATCCTCTTCCTTCTCCTCTCTTTCCTTCTTCTTCTGTTTCCCACCCTTTCTTTCTTTTTCTTGTTATCCC